GACGCATTATCCAGGATGAAACACCCGACTTTATTATGCGACACCAGCTCAAAATCCTCCAATACCTCCGCCACGGTTGCGGAGATGTTCTCTCCGGTGTGCGCTGCGGACAGACTTGGAAGACCCAGGACAACCTTTCGCGGCGTAAACGTGCGCTCATCGAGAGAGAACGCATTTATGGAAAAGAATGAGTGCCTGTTCCGGGACGTCCAACCGTCAAATGCCATGTGGACTTGACTGGGGCTTTGCAGCAGGATGTCGACGACGTGCGATTTGTACAGATAGAACTCATCAACAATCCTCGTGCGAATTGTTTTGTGAGTCAGATTTGCAGAGGTCTCCTCGACCAGCGGATTAAGGTAATGAAGGAGCTTATGAAGCCCTTCATGCTCAGAGATGCGAAAAGAGAGATTGGCTTCCGTGATCCACCGAACAAGAAGGCGTTGAAAGGTTATCTTGTCGAATCGAGCAGCTAGTCCGTCATGGAAATCATCGCGTTTTCGCTTCTTAATATCGAAGTCGAAGAGCTTCGGTTGATGCGGAGACGGCTCGGGTCTGTATTGTCTCAACTTGGACTGGTCCGGGTTGGAGATGTTGTGGGCTCCGCTAAGGTGGCCCTCAATATTCCGACTGTTGGACGAGACATACGCCTTTGGCTTGTGGGCCTTCTGCTTGACGCAGTGATAGCAGAGCCAAGTGGATGCGGCCGCCTGGTTTGTCGCACCTCGGGCCTGGACGTCGTAGCCGTGAGCCCAAAACCATCCTTTCGCCAGTCCAGTCCGCGTCGCAAGGGTCCATTGGCTGCGGAGTGGTTGAGGAACCGTGTCCCAGTCTTTACTGACCACAGAGCTCCCCAAGGACTGCGATGATTCCAGCTTTGTTGGCTCTGCCTGACTGGAATCTTCAGACGAGCAGGTTGGATATGGCGAACCTGCCGAGAAGCTGGGAACATCGCCGCCAGTGGCCATGATGGGGGTCGAGTTGTTTGGAGGGCAATGGGCACCACCTGGCCCTGGATAATGGGGCTTCATCTGATCGATGGCTCGAGAAAGGGGCCAAAAGAAAGCTGCCCAAACGAGGGCAAAAGCAAAAACGGTAGAGGTACTGGTACATTTTACAACTTGGCACCTGGCCAAGAAAACAAGTATCTCTACATCACTCAAATTAGCTGCCGTCCATCTACATTTCACCTATCTACCGGGCGGTAAAGTAGATAGATAGAAGACCCACATGACCTTAGGGTAGATAGATAGATGTAGCCTACATCTATCTACATCTACCAAGTCGTCTACATCGGTAGATAGATTACCCACCCTGGACATGCGTCAGTACTCGGCCTGCTACTAATGAATGGCGGCGACATCGAGGCCCGGACCGATAATGGGTGGACGCCACTGGCACATGCTGTGGAGCGGGAGATGGCTGCTGCCGTCAAGATACTCCTCGAGCATGGAGCGGATATCAAGGCACTCTCTCCCAGAGGGATATCTCATCTGCGGGTGGCCTGCGAGGTCGGACACGTTCGGATTGCTGAGATATTGCTGGAACATGGAGCCGATCTCCCTGATGAAGATCCAAAGCTGCAGCCCCTCATCAACGTGGCTGCGGCGAACTTTGATGCTAAACTTGTCAAGGTTCTTATGAGTTATGGAGCAAGGATCGAGGACACCGACGTGAACGGGTTCACACCATTGATCGTGGCATCAAGTGAAGGGTGCGTGGAAACCGCCAGAAAGCTTCTTGTCAGTGGTGCCAATGTGGAAGCGACACTTATAAGTGGACATACAGCTCTCCAGGCTGCTACAATTAACGGGAGGACTGACGTTGTCGAGCTACTCCTCAAGCACGGGGCAAATACCGCTGTCCTGGACGCCGTTGGCCGTACGCTAGCACATTTAGCGGCAAGCAACGGCCACTTCACCATTTTCAAATTACTCTGCAGAGTTTCGGACATCTATAGGAGAGACAACAATGGGCGCACGCCCTTCTTCCACGCCGCAATACGCGGTCGCTGTGACAAATTGTCCTTTCTTCTCTGCTCGGCCAGAGATGGCAACGTCAACAATGCTGGCCTTAGTGGAGTTCAGGCGGACCACTCAGGCAACATCAAAGACTTCTTTGGGACGATGCCTATCGTGGCGGCGGAGAGAAACGGACACGAGGACGCAGTTCAGACTATACTCACCGACAAGTCCGGCGTGTCGAACCTTGGGTGGGAGACCCCCTGGTGGGCAAAGAAGATCCTGCCCAACATGTGCTATTGCAATGTATGCACGAGGTACTCCATTTATGGCATGTCCAGTGCCTCAAGGTGTACAGAATGTGATGGCGGACGACTGCTGATTTGTGGCGAATGTCGGGATGCTGGTGCAAAGTGTAGGGATGAGTCTCATACTTGGGAGCCTTACGCAGGTCCCCGCCGCAGCAGATGCATGCATTATATCTGATCTCTGGTTTGCTCTTGGCACATGCAACGCACATAGATACCGCTTGTCTTCTGCTTGCCCTTCGCCCGCCAAGTCGACCAGCAGCTGTAGGCGACCTACGGTGGCTCTGTCATCCGCTTTGAAACGACGACAACGGCTGGGGATTATACCTGCCGTCCCATTCACAAGCCGCCACTCTCTTCCTCGCCCCGATCACTCCTCCGGCCTTTGGATTCTTTCCTTGGTGCAACTGCCTTCTCTGCGCACCACATCCTGGGCCTACACATTCCTCTTGCCCGGGTGTGCATGGTGGGGGCCCGGTCGTTGCCTCACAGGGCCTGTTTGCCGTCGCGCACGTACTCTCCTTGCGTATCCGCGCCCCTCCTCCCTCCCTACTCAACTGTGCCTGCCTTCCTAGCCCACTTGGCCGACCTATACCACACTCCCTCCTCCAGCCGAGCCCACCCTACTCACATAAATACATAACCGGCCCGCAATCGTCAATCGCTGCTTCACATTCCCTCTTGTCTGTCCATCCGCAGGAAATCCAAGAGCAGCCCCGTCGATACAGCCAGCACCACCACCGGTGCAATCCCACCACGAAGCCAACCCTAACGGCAACATCCCCTTTGCGCCCATACCCGTCACCCCCAGACACCTTGCAGCCCCGATGCCTCACCGCGAGCACGAGTCTCCTGTGCCGAGTCACCAGCCCTTGAGCACCATGGGCGGCTCCAATGTGCCGTCGATGACCCCGCAGGACGCGGAGGTTGCCCAGGCGCTCGACATTGCTCGCGAAAGCCCCGACAGCGCCTCTGACCCGATGGTCAGCCAGATCCTGGAGCACGCATTGTCACAGATCTGGGGCAAGGTCAAAGCCAGGCCAGATAGCCACATCATGACCCGAGAAGAGTTCGCAGTCTTCAACTACTTCCAGCACCGCTTCGTCGGCGACAAGGACGCCGTGACCGCTAGGAAACGTTACTGGAACAACCTCCGGGCGTAGAATCGCCGCCTTACGACTCGACATGGCTTTATGGCTTGCATGCCACCTACCTGCCTAGTCTTGTCACATGCGATTTGCCAGACGTTTCGTGGCCTGGCATTTTCTCAACAAGACCCGTCTTACTACAGCCGGCCGCACAAGGGGAGAAGATGCGACACGGCCTCGCCAAAGCTGGATGCCTGCGGCCTCAGCCGCCGGGAGTCATGCCATCACTGGCACACCTTCGCCGATTGGCCAGACAGCATCCCAGAGACGCCTTCAAGGCATGGCCAGAATATCAGGCCACTGATCACGCCTTTGCAACAGGTGTTTAACCCCAGACTGGAAAATAGGTGCGAGGAAAACTCGCTCGCATTTTATGCCCCCAATATTCGGCATGATGTGAT